ACAATTTTCTATGAATATTTTCTTCTTTGATTTTTTGACTTAACATCTTTCCAATTTTAGAATTTATAATAATAATAATAATAATAATAATAATAATAATAATATATAATTATTATTTAATATTTAATTGATTAGCTATTTTATAATTTTTTTATTTAGTGTAGAGGCGAAATGGTTTTTATAGTTATTTTTTTTGTGTAGGGATAATGATATATCAACTTTTTAACTTTTTTTATTTTCACTTTTAATAATATATGATATGATGAAAAATTTATTTTAAATTTGAGCTTATTTAGAGTAGATTTGAGTTTGAGTCATTTGTTGGGATCTTAGAAATTTGATGAACAAATCACTATTTTTATTCAAATGCACATGTTTGAATTTCACCCTATTTCTATAGAGGAAAAAAATGATAAATATATTCTCAAACTATCGTAAATAGTATGTAGATACACTCCGTCATACTTTTGGGATATTGATGCCCTTGTCGTCTTAAAACTGAGCATACATATGTCATAATTATCCACTGGCATTTATTATATTGTGTTACGTGTTCCTATTGTCACGACCCAAATTCGAGCCGCGACTGGCACCCACACTTACCCTCCTATGTGAGCGAACCAACCAATCTAGCCTTAACATTTCAATGTAATAACAACAAAAAGTAATGCGGAAGACTTTAACTCATTAATAAAAATCAATAATCAACTTCTATAACTCAAGAACTTATCATTATCCCCAAAATCTGGAAGTCATCACCACAAGAACATCTACAATCAAATGACTAAACTAAGAGTATTCTAGAAGCTAAAAATACATAAGAAGCTAGTCCGTGCCGGAGGTTCAAGGCATCAAGACGTGACGGAGGAGATCCAGTCCAAGCTAGAAGTGTTAGCTCACCCTGAAGATCCGGTGTGACGAAGACTGGCTTGAATTACTGTTGAGTCGAAGATGACGGCACGTTTGCTGCATTCCACAATTAAACAAGAAGAAAACAATAAAAGTAGGGGTCAGTACAAACACGGGTACTGAGTAGATATTATCGGCCAACTCAAAATAGGGAACAGTATATATCAAGTATTATCATAAATCAACTATAAAACTCAACATGTAACAACAACAAGTACTATAATCATCAATAAGTACCATCAAATTCACACATGAGGACTCAAGCCCCAATACCATACTCATTTGGGAATCATGTTCGTTAGATTGAGTATATTAACATCTTTCAAGATTCATTATCTTTCCTCCTCTTGTGTCGGTTCGTGACACTCCGATCCCCTAATTCTATGTGTCGGAACGTGACACTCTGATCCCCTACATGTGTCGGAACGTGACACTCTGATCCCCTACATGTGTCGGAACGTGACACTCCGATCCCCTACATGTGTCGGAACGTGACACTCCGATCCACTAAAGCTATGTGTCGGAACGTGACACTCCGATCTACTAATATCATTCTGTAAATCATCAAGCCTTTTCTATACCAAGGCATCCTCAATCCCATTACTTTAATTCATCAAGCCTTCTTCTATACCAAGACATCATCATTAATAATGTATATTAAAGTTTCTTTTCAAGATTTGGGATTCAATATTTTTGATCATGCTTATCTTATCACAATTACATAATCATATTCATGCAAACATACAATTAAGCATATAGTAGGGTTTACAATACTACCAATACATATCATTCTCTATTAAGAGTTTACTATGAAAGCATGAAAACCATAACCTACCTCCACCGAAGATTAGTGATCAAGCAAGCAAATTTTTCTCCAAGCTTTGTTTCTCCCTTCTCATTCGATTCTCCCTCTCTCTCTTGTTCTTTCTATTTTCTTTATTCCAACCCTCTTTCTTTTACCCTAATTAGTATATAATTAAGAATAAAAGATGGCAATAATACCCCACTAATTAACTTAGGGTTACCTCTTTTAACCCCTCAAGAATTTGAGTTATTAATATAAACCCACGAACTTTATAATTAAGGCAAGAATAGTCAAAAACGTCCCTTAAAACTTAACCAGAAATCCGACTCTGCCTGGGATTTGCGCAACCTGCGACGGGCCGTCGTGCCTGCGACGGTCCGTCCTGCAGGTCGTCGCAGAGTTCAGAGACCCAATATTTCCACCAAGGGTCTGTGACGGTCCGTCCTGCCATTCCGTCACAAAGTTCAGAGAGTCGATTTTCAGTACCCAATTTCAGATTCCCTAAGTGTTTTGAAACGAGACCCTGCGACGGTCCGTCGTGCCCATGACGTTCCGTCGTGGGGTCCGTCGCTTCTGTCAGTTTTTCCAGAATTGAAGTCTGTTGCTCAAAACGACTAAACGGGTCGTTACACCTATTTAGTCTTCTATTAGAGTGACGATCATATATGCTCCAGTCTAGATAAGATAAACTAATATTTTATTTTATTTTACAAATTTTAGAAAATAAAAAAGGGTGAAGAACTGAAAATTTAGGAAAGGTAAAGTAAAGCGAAGATTCAAAGGAGTACCAACTTTTTCTTTTTGGCAACTAAATTTTATCGATTTCTTTTTACTTGTTTGTGTACCATATTGAAATTATATTGCCGAAATAAATGCCATCAACTTTAGCGGGGTAAGATTTTCTACTTTACCCAATAAAAAAAGGGAAAAATATATAATAACAAATTATTAATTTAAATTAAATTCTATAAATATAGTTTGATTTAATTGTATCCTATAGTAAATTGTTGCTATTTTGTTTCTCCCTGGTGGAATTTCGTTCGCCATTCTCGTTCTCGCTGACAGTCTCGCTCGCGTTTCTCATATTTATACAAACATAAATGTATAAAATGCGTTTGTGTTCGTGTAAAGCGAGAGAAAATTGTATATATACATATATTTTCGTTCTCCTATCTCCCCTCTCCCAGATCTTGCTCGTCACTCTCCCACATCTCGCTCGCCACTTTCTCACTTTGTACAAACACAAATGTACAGAATGTGTTTGTATTTGTATAAAACAAGAGAAAATTGTATATACAAATACAAATACATATATTTTTTATCCTACACACTTGTGATTATACAAATTGATCATTCCATACTTATCTTTCTCTCTCTCACTTTATACAAACACAAATTATACAATTGATTATTTTGTATATATACCAAAACAAATTATACAATTATTTCTTTTGTATATATATATTGCAAAATACCCATAACTTTATTTTTTATATATGTATTGCGAAATAGCCATAGCAAATATAAAATTTACTATGAAGAGTAATTATGTAAACTATAGTTATAACATATAAATATAATTTTTGTATTTGCTACGGATAAAAATTGTTTAAAGTTTCTTAACTTCATACGCGACTATCTAATTTTTTAGGGAAATGGGTAAACTTTTAAAAATATCATAATGCGAACACTAGTTAAATTTCCACCCAAAAGCGAATAATCGTCCACTCCCAAAGAAGCCCCTAAAATATTTAAATTTGTTGATATTCATAGAATAAAAGCACAAGTTGACCAATTAGGATTGTTTGATATCTGGTTGGAATTATAAAAAAACTAGTAGTGTAAAGGTTAATAAAAATACTAGTAAGGTAAAGGTTAATTATGATTTATTGATGTATTATTTTATATATGTATTACTTATGCAAAAATTAATTATTCAGATGTTAGTTATTCCGCCCTCTATATAGTATAAAACAATATATAGATTTTCTCACAATTTATACATGTATTAGTTATGAGCGTTTCTAAATTATCAATCAAACACTGTATTTAATTTTATATATGCATGTTTTATTTCCTATCTACCTATCATACATCACATAAGTTATACATGAACTAATATTATCTCTGTTCTTATTTATATGTCATCATTTTAGATTTCATGTTCCTTAAGAAATTAAGTAAGCTTACCATTATATACTTATTTAATACTCCCTCCGTTTAAAAAAAGATGATCTAGTTTGACTTGTAACGGAATTTAAGAAAAAAATAGACTTTTTAATCTTGTGGTTCTAAATTAAAGTTCTGTCAAATGTACCAAAATGCGTTTTAACCTTGTTGTCTTAAACATGGCACGTGGAAAGTTAAAGTTAAAGTGTTATCAAAAAAGGAAAGGAGTCATTCTTTTTTAAACAGACTAAAAAGAAAATGGAGACATTCTTTTTTAAAAGGAGGGAGTATCCTTTTAAGAACAAGTTTTCAATCAATGAACATAAATCTATTTATTTTGATTTATTAATTTAACCAATGGACAAATATTATTTACTTAGTTTTTCTGTATTTCTCAAATAAATATTTCCAAGGATAATAACTCTCAAAGGTAAAATGTGAAAAATAATGTTATTTATGCATTAATTTTGTGAATCGACAAATACTCCTTTAGTTCATTTTATTTGTCACTATCTGACTTGGCAAACCACACACTTATTAAGAAAGCAATTATTGATATCGTTATTTACCATAATATCCCTATTAATTGATGTTTAATAGTATTAACTGTTGAAAAATGATACTCAATGCCTTGGTAAAATATGAAAAAATATATTAATTGTCTTTCTTTGATATGTCAAAAGTAACAAGTAAAAATGAAAAATATATTTTGGAAATAAGTGACAGATAAAGTGAATCAAAGGAGTATTAAAAGTCATTTATTTTTAGTAAGAACGATAAGTAAATTAAAAAAAAATGAAGTAGGTGAATAACTTGCTTGGTACAACCTCTGTCCACTTTCTTATTGTCATGATTTATTTATTTTTAGAATCAAATAAGTATTATACGTAACATTTTCTCAATCATATTATTTGAAAATATAAATTTTTTGGTTAAAAAATCAAATAACGTAATCTAAATCAATTTTTAAAATCACTCAACCTGACTTTTGAAAAATTTAGCGTGACAATTAAAATTGAACGAACGAAAAATATCTAGCCAGGTAATGAACCTATAGTATTAAACAAAAAATTCCGTCTGTTGACAGCTGCAAAACGCAAAACATACCCCTCGTACTGAATTTGCAAATACTTAAAAAATCTCATGCCTACCCCACCAAGGCCCGTTCTTATATGTTCCAAACAATCTGCACGTTACGTCCCGCTCTCCCTTCACTTCATCACTCACACTCCATTGATTCACATTCACTCACTGAAATACACTCTCCCATAGAAAATATCTTCAATTTTCATTAAACAAGTTCAAGATTTTTGCCTACGATTCTTTGCTACACAGACAAGGTAAGAGGGTTTTGGTAAGTCTTTTGAACAGCTAACCATATATATATAGCCTTATAACTGAAAAGGGGTATGTATTAATTTTCAAAAAAAAAATATATGTTGTGGCGCCTCCTTGCATATGCCAACAATGTCTAGAGTTGCAGAAAAGTAAAAGGGTTTGTCAGAACAGAATTTCAATTAAAGATTACATCTTTTTACAAGTTGTGATCTTACAATTCTTGTTTTTTTTTTTCTTTTTTGAGAAGAATTTAGGGAAGGGTCTTTTTCAGATCTCTTTTTCTAGCATTTTTCTTATGGCAGATTCAAGAAAGTACATTTCTAGTGAGGAACTGAAGAATCACAACAAACCAGGGGATCTGTGGATATCCATTCAGGGTAAGGTGTATGATGTATCAGATTGGGTGAAGGAACATCCTGGTGGTGATTTCCCACTGTTAAATCTTGCTGGACAGGATGTTACTGATGCATTTGTTGCATTTCATCCTGCTACTGCTTGGAAGTATCTTGACAAGTTCTTTAAGGGGTTTTACCTCAAGGATTATTCTGTTTCTGAGGTATCTACGGATTATAGAAGGCTTGTGTCTGAGTTCACTAAAATGGGGTTGTTTGAAAAGAAAGGCCATGTTTGTTTATTCACCATGTTCTTAATGACAATGTTGTTTTCCTTAAGTGTTTATGGAATCTTGTATTGTCATGGTGTGTTGGCACATTTGATAAGTGGTGCCTTGATGGGGTGTCTTTGGATTCAGAGTGGGTGGATTGGTCATGATTCAGGGCATTATCAGGTGATGAGCACTCGCGGATTCAACAGATTTGCTCAAGTCCTTACTGGGAATTGCCTTGCTGGAATCAGCATTGCTTGGTGGAAGTGGAACCACAATGCTCACCACATTGCCTGCAACAGTCTTGAATATGACCCTGATCTTCAACACATGCCATTCTTTGTGGTATCTTCCAAGTTTTTCGACTCACTCACTTCTTATTTTTACGATAGGAAGATGAATTTTGATTCTTTTACTAGATTCTTGGTTAGTCATCAACATTGGACATTTTATCCTGTTATGTGTTTTGCTAGAATCAATTTGTTTGCTCAGTCATTCATATTGTTGTTATCCAACAAAAATGTGCCCCATCGAGTTCAGGAGCTTTTGGGGGTGGTTTCTTTCTGGATTTGGTATCCGTTGCTTGTTTCTTTCTTGCCAAACTGGGGCGAAAGAATTATATTTGTTCTTGCTAGTTTCACAGTGACTGGAATTCAGCATGTTCAATTCTGTTTAAACCATTTCTCATCTGAAATTTATGTTGCACCACCTAAAGGAAATGATTGGTTTGAGAAGCAAACTAATGGCTCTCTCGACATATCATGCCCTAGTTGGATGGATTGGTTTCATGGTGGATTGCAGTTTCAGATTGAGCATCATTTGTTTCCTAGATTACCAAGATGCCAACTGAGGAAAGTCTCTCCCTTTGTGAAAGACCTCTGTAAAAAGCATGGTTTGCCTTACAGTTGTGTCTCCTTCTGGAAGTCTAATGTTTTGACCATCAGCACCCTCAGAGCTGCAGCTTTGCAGGCTCGGGATTTAACTAAGCCTGTTCCAAAAAATCTAGTTTGGGAAGCCGTCAACACTCACGGTTGAGACTGAGGAGCTCAAGGAAATCCATGGTATATCATTTCCTCATGATCGATGGATTGGAGAAAAGTGCTGCTATATGTATTATTTATTTCTAGTATTGATCAATTGTAACAACAATAATCTGCATCTCCGTTTTACTGGGAATGAATATCTTTGTAATATCTAAAGAGAACAATCGTATTGTGTCATTCTATTAAGGCTTACTTACTTGTATTTGATCTTAGATAACGACAAAAAAGTTCATATTGTCCCTCCCAGGTTCGATTTAATGTATAATATCACCAAACTAGTAGCTTTGCAGGTTACTGCAGAACTTGTTTACTGCTCTAGCACCAGGATGAACGTGTCGTGTTTTTGCTGCCTTTTGGCTCTTTTCCTCAATGTAACTTTGCCTAGGCCCTTGTTAGGGTTTGTTGTCTAGTGAATGTTTTGGATTACAGGTTCAAGTTTGTCAAATGTTTTTGTGATAGAGGAATTCTCTGTTCTCGTGGCCGTTCATGGCATTCATGTGAACCAGTGTCAATTATCGTTTTGTGCATTAAATTTAGTTTAACACTGTTTGATAACAGTGTTTTGTGTTTGTATGCGATGTTGCATCAAATTGCTTGATAACTTCACTTCGGCAAAGTGGTCTTTGCAATAGAAGTACTAGTTTGTTGTTTCTAAGATGCCACAGATAGCCTATCTTTGGAGCTTTCTCTAAACTTGCAGGCCAAAATTTGGTTCCATTTGGCTGTCATGCTGAAATGGTCAAAATATTAAAAACATACATTTTATATGCTCAGAATCTTTTTGTTATATGCTCGTATCTCTCTACCATTTCCATGACTGGGTTGCTCTTTATCTATAAACAAACACTTCATTTCAAGTCCAGCTGGATGCAAAATTTGTACGGTAGATAAGGTATACCGTGTCATTGTTGCGTGAGAGAATTTTTAAGGCTTGAGTCATATGCGGCTCCTTAAAGTTGTCCGTATATTTCACTTAGACACCTCAATTTAGCCTCATACCTATTGAACACTTGAACCTTAACAAATTTATACCAATTTAACACAAAATGATAGTCAAATAAAAGAGAAATATGCGTGCATTTCAAACGCTCAAATGTAACAAATGGACCAAAGAAGCGATGACACATGACAATTGGATTAATTTTTAATTTTTTTTATTTAAATAATCAAAAAGCAATTTAAGAAAACAAAAATTGAATTAATCCACCCCACTCCACCGGCCACCCACCATTCTTCTTCTTCTCGTCGACCTGAACTGCAACCTCCATGGTTCTTCTTCTTCGTCTCCTTTTCACTGGCCCCGGCGTCTCAACGCCAGTCAACAATAGCCTCCAGCCTATTCTTCTTCTCCATTGAATTTTATCCATATTTCACCATTATTGTCAATCTAAGATAATTCATCATTCACCTTTCATTCTTATTGTATTAAAACCTTCTATTCGTTATCTTTCATCTTTTTTTCACTAATAATTATTTATAACAAATTACAAGAAAAATAATTTTTTACAGAAAAGATAATCAATTGCTTCATCGGAATATTATTTTTATCGAAACAATGAAACTTTGCCAAAATATTTGAGACTTTAATTAGATTTACATAGAAAAAGAAAAGAAAAAGAAAAACACAAGAAGAATTTGAGGGGATTGGAGAAAAGATGGACAGGGTGGGTGTGGGTATGTAAAGAGATGAGAGTAGTTACAGGTATGTGAGAAGAAGATCACTTTTTTTATTTTAAATTAATTATTTTTATGCATTATTTATTAGTTAGGCTTATTAATTGAAAAAAAGATCATTTTCAATGGTTTCACGCGCTTGGGGACTGTGAAATACACATTTTTTGCCACGTAAGTCATTTGTGACCAATAGGAACTGGTGTTGAACACATAAGGCGTTCAATAGGTATGAGACTAAATTGAGATATCTAAGTGAAATATACGGACAACTTTAAGGGACAACATATGACTTAAGCCAATTTTTAATGTATAGAAATTCATTTTGCCGGTCTCTAACTTTTCATTTTCTCTTCCTACTCTGTAGTACCTTCAAGTCTCACCTTCCATTTAGTCCTTCCTCTGATATAGAGTACTTTGTTTCTTTTAAATTTATTACTCTCTAACTTTATAGCTTTTAAATTTACTAGTGAAATTGTTCACGTTTCGTGTAATTATAGGAAATATTTATACGATAATAATATGCAATTAGGTTAGTATCAAATATATAAGATAATTTGGATAAAATAGAATTTCGTTTTATATCTCTTTAAGGGCAAACTATTCACATGCATATAGTAGAACAAAATATTCACCATAATGATATAAATGAAATAAGAGATAATACAAACCATGTCAAAGATCAGTGAAATATTCCATATATTGTATTAGACACTAAATGTATTCATAGTTATGCATTGAATTTAGATGGAAAATAAATAAATGAAAATAAGTGGTGAAAATACAAATCATGCCATATTTGTGTGAAAGATTTTTTTAATTGATAAATGTTCATTTTGAGGGTCTCTAAGTCTTTATAACTTTTCATTCGGTCCTTTCTCTAATATAGAATACTTTGTAATATCTTTTAAATTTATTGTTCTCTCGAATATAGGGTACTTTATATCTTTTAAATTTACTAGTGCATGATTATAATATTTATAAGATAAAAATATTTAATATCTATATATAGGTTACTACCAAATATATGAGATAATATTGATATTTTTCTTTCACTAAGACATGATACATTTTTTCCTTTTTTAAACATATAAAATATAATTTCATTTTGTATCATTATAAGGTTAATTATTCATATGTATATAGTAGAACAAAATATTTATTGTGTTGAATTAAATTGAATAAGATGTAATATGTTGAAATAACAATATACTGTATTAGAAATTAAATGTATTAATAATTATGCATTGAATTTAGATGGAAAATACATAAATGAAAATGAATGGTGAAAATACAAATCATGTCATACTTGTGCGAAAGATTTTTTCAATCGATAAAAATTCATTTTCGCGGGTCTCTAAGTCTTTATAACTTTTCATTTTCTTTTTCTATTTTGTACTCCCAAGTCCCACCATCCATTTAGTCTTTCCTCTAACATGGAATGCTTTGTATCTTTTAAATTTATTGTTCCTATGACATAGAGTACTTATATCTTTTAAATTTACTAATAAAATTGTTCGATTATACGTGATTATATGAAATATTATAAAATAATAGTATATAATGTCTATATTTAGATTAGTATCGAATATATAAGATAATATTGATATTTTTCTTCTTCTGCAACATGATACATTTTTTCATTTTTAAACATATAAAATAGAATTTCATTTTGTATTTAACAAAATATTTACCGTGTTGAAGTAAATTGAATAAGAAGTAATATGTTGAAATAATAATATATTGTATTAGACATTAATGTATTAATAATTATGCATTGAATTTATTTTAACTGAAAATAAGAGTGAAAATACAAACCATGTTATAGTTGTGTGAGAGATTTTTTCTATCGATAAAAATTTATTTTGCGAGTCTCTAAGTAATAACTTTTCATTTTCTCTTTTTACTCCTCAACTTCAAAGTCCCACCTTCCATTTAGTCCTTCCTCTGACATAGAGTACTTTGTATCTTTTATATTAATTGTTCCCTTTGCGTAGAACACTTTATATCTTTTATTTTACTAGTGATATTGTCTGCAATTCGTGTGATTATATGAAATATTTATAAGATAATAGTATGTAATACCTATAGAATATATAAGATAATTTTGATATTTCTCTCCATGATACATTTTTTTTATTTTTTAAACATGTAAAAATAAAATTTGATTTTGTATCTTTTTAAAGGTAAACTATTCATATGCATATAGTAGAAGATAATATTTACCGTGGTGAAGAAAATAAAATAAGAGGTAACTGTTGAGCTAACAATATATTGTATTATACATTAAATGTATTAATAATTATGCATTGAATTTATTTTTAAAACAAATAAATGAAATAAGGGGTGAAAATACAAATCATGTCATAATGACGTGAGAGATTATTTTTATCAATAAAAATATATTTTGCGGGTCTAAGTATTTATAACTTTCATTTTCTCTTCCTACTCCTCAACTCCCAAGTCCAACCTTCCATTTAGTCCTTTCTACGACATAGAGTACTTTGTATCTTTTAAATTTATTGTTTTTTTTGACATAGAGTACTTCATATATTTTAAATTTACTAGTGAAATTATTTGTGCTTCATGTGATTACATGAAATATTTATAAGACAATAATATGTACTATCTATATTTAGATTAGTATTGAATAATAAGATAATATTGATATTTCTTTTCACCTGAACATGATACGATTTTTCATTTTTTTAACATATAAAATAGAATTCCATTTTGTCTATTTTCAAAGGTCAACTATTCATGTGTATATAGTAGAACAAAATATTCATTGTGGTGAGGTGAATGAAATAAAAGGTAATATGTAACAATATATTGTATTAGACATTAAATGCATTAATAGTTATGCATTGAATTTATTTGTAAATAAATAAATAAAAATAAGGGGTGAAAATATAAAAAATAAAAAAGATATACAATAATTGGTGATTGCATAAACATTTCAAACAAAAAAGAATGGTGATTAAAACAAATTGTTACATACACAAAAAAAATTGTATCATCAAATTGATATTTTATTTTCAATTACTTTTTTGTAAGTATAATAAAAATGAACTCCTAATCATTATAATTTAATTTTGTTGTTAAAATAGATAGTTATATTAACCGTGCTTCATAAAAAAAGTTATAATTTTATTTTGTTGTTGGAATAGATAGTTATATTAATTGTGCTTCATAAAAACAGTAGAATAGTAAAGGGCCAATGATTAGCATTGACAATACACATAGTTAAATTATTTATTTAAATCAAAATTTATTTTTTTTAATCGAAGGTAACTAAGGTACTAATACAAGTCAAAGTAATAAAAAAATCTAGCAAAAAAAATCTCTAATTATGCTTCATTTTTTTCGCTTCTATCATCTTCGTTTGCAAGTAGATCTACCACCATATTTTGATCCATATGTCAAACACGTCATCATATGCAATCAATTGAATAAAAAAAATTATATGAATAAATAAAATATCATATACCAATTAAAAATGATCATATCAAAAGAAAAAAAATAAATTTTAACTATATATAATATATTTGTTTATTATTTTTTCAATAGTACTGACAATATTGAATAATAATCATTTCTTGAAATCTAACAAATATTATAATCAAACTACATTATATC